CACTATGGCATTATTTATTATTATTATTATTATTATTATTATTATTATTATTATTATTATTATTAGGTAAAGGTAAAGGACCCCTGGACGGTTAGGTCCAGTCAAAGGCAACCAAGGGGTTGCAGCACTCATCTTGCTTTCAAGCTGAGGGAGCTGGTGTTTGTCCACAGAATGTTTTCCAGGTCAGGTAGCCAGCAGGACTGAACTGCTCCTGGTGCACGGAGGGCCGTGACGAGTGCCAGAGAGCACAGAAACACCGTTTACTTCCCCTCTGCAGTGGTACCTATTTATCTACTTGCACTGGCATGGTTTCAAACTGCTAGGTTGATGATGATGATGATGATGATGATGATTTGCTATTGTCAGCAGGCAAGAGAAAAGGAAAGATAAAGCAGCAGAAGCATAAATCACCTAGGATATCAAACGTGCTCGGCTTCCAACAAGCTTTGACAAGCACAATGCAAGTTAAGTATAGTGTGTGCCTAATAAACTGATTCTCATGAAACCAGGATTTGAAACTGGGGATGGGGGGGGGGAGCTTCAAGGAGAGTAAACAATAGTAACCGTTTTAACAAGGTGGGCTGTAAAGGATTTGGCCTGGAGTTTTGCAATACAGTCAAAAAGCATTTTGAGCTGCGAGCCGCACTTGTGAGTGAACAGAAGGCATCAATGGTGGGATTCCTTGGAGCACCTTCTACAGAGCTCCATTGGATAAGAAGGCAGAGTTCGACCAGATCTAGCAAGGAGGTTGCCATACAACCTGGAAAATAAAAGCCGGACCGTTCTCCACAATGGCAATTGGCAAGGCTGCTTTTCTTTCCATGCCTCCTCAGCCGTTTTTAGATGAACACAGTTACCTTTTGCTTGGGGCCCTTCCCTCAGATCCGCTAAACATTTACAGGACTCTGCCTCCAACCTATTAAAAAAAATTCTGGATTTCTCTCCTTGGCTGTTCTCCTCGAGCCGCTTTGGACTCCACCCTCTGACCAAATAACTCTGCCCTTTGAGCTCACCCAGGGATTAGGACTTTTGATTTCTATAGTTGGCAACCCCACCCACCAATAATCACCCGTGCTTTCAAATTCCTGAGTCTTGAGACTTGACTACCACATTGCAATCTCTTAGGAGCTTCCCTTGAAGACTGCTGGGAGATGGGTTCAGAACCTGGTATGGGAGCCCTTATCCTGATAGCGATGGGCACTGGAAGTGTGTTCTAGCAGACTTTTAACAGCTGCACTATCTTTCTTGTGCATTTGAAGGACAGTGGAAGGTGCTGGGTTGATACCTGAATAGGTATGGCCCTTCATACTTTTGACAAGTCCTCTTCCTTCCTTGTGCAGTCTCTAGAATTAACTGGGAATGGCCTTTTTGCAGTTCCCTCCATGTTCTGAGTCTCGATGACCAACCTTCATAAGGATTTCTCACTTAGGGCCATTCCTTAGCTAAAGAGCTCTTAGATAAAAACATATAAAAGCAATGCAAACTGTTTTTCATACATATAATGGGTAATAAAGGTACTCATTATTTGTATAATACCACTGATCATTCAAAGAAAACACTGAATGCATTACCTTGCTGTAATCCCTAACAAGAACAACAATTCTATATGAATTCTATGTTGCACATGGAATATTAAGGAGTGTTTTGCTCAATGAGTTCTTGTCAAATGCAAGATTCAAACTGGGGCTTCTTGATTCATAGCCGAGCCACTTCTCTGCATAAGCAAGTGGTTCTTTCCATTCCTGACATATATGTTTAACAGTCTTGCAACATGTCCACAAAAATTACTGTTTTGCGAATGCCTGCATGTAACATTCTGATGCTAGTCTTTGTGGCACATGGATGGCATCGAACAAAAAGAGAACTGATTCTGTCTGTCTCTGCAAAAGTTCCCCTTCCTGGTCACTTACAGGAATTATTTACTCACCATAGGTAACATGGTGAGTGGCTATTTACAAGTCTGGTGCAGAGCTTCGCTTGCACATTGAAGCTCTCACAGCAGGGGAAAAAAGTAGATTTGGTCTGTGCCTTGATTGCAAATTGCTAAAAGGTTCTGAGCCTTTAATGGACGGGGGAGGGAACAAATTAAATATTGGCACAAATATTGCATAGTCTCTTGGGCTCTGCTACCTCCCACCTGCCATAAGCCAGGCATGCAAAGTCTCTCCAGAGATTGCAAATGCAGCGTTGTCCAGAATGCTCTTCTTCTGTGGTCTTTGCATCTGTCCCCCCCCCTTAAATCCACAGTATTTCCAAACAAGGAGTGAAGCAAGGCAGCAGAACAAGGGGCATGTTGAAATGCACGGCAGCCTTGACAGATCATTGCTGCATGGTTGCTTTGCAGCAAACGTCTTGCGCCATGCTTTGCTCTGAGCAGAACGTTATCCTCCAGCCCTGCAAGGCGAGGGAGGGTGGAAGAACTGAGAATAGCTCAACTGGGCTTTCTCGCAAGCCTTTATTTAGGATGTGTGGTTGAAGCAATTCCACCATTACTCATAGGAAGCTCGAAAATGCAGCACGCCCAAAGAAAATTGGCAAACGTCTTCAAACCGTAGGCTCAGTCTTATGTCTGTGTGTGAAGTATGAAAAAGATCCTGTTTCCATAAATGCAACATTGCAACGAAGGGTGGTGCACGGGAGATATTTACCTCTGTTCCAAGTAGCAATGGACAAATTCTTGCCTCCTCCCACACATGTGGAATATGGAAGGGGTCCGATTAAAAGTCATTCATTTGGAGCACATCTAAGCCCTGTTTGGCCCTATTCGACTCTTTCATGGCGTTCAAAGAAGCGAGCGTTTGCTGTATCCCCATCATCATCCTTGTTGACTTCCATGAGTTATAGAGGGCTAACTCTGGAAGTGAGGAGCTTGTTCTACCCATGTAGGATGCCTCTCCCCCCCTTTTTTTTTGGAACCCTGAAATCAGGTCTCTAAGAGAGTGGGTGGAGAGTCTATGTGAGCAGAAATGGCTTCTGCACTGCAGGTGTTATTCCTTCAAATCATGGAGGATGGTGGCAACTGGTGTTTGTTTCTTGAGTCTTGAGACTTGTGTTTGTTTCAGGCATGCTTAGCATATCCATCCTCGCTGATTCCTCATGTGAGAGTTTTAGGCCACATCCACACTATTCATTTAAAGCGCTTTTATGCCACTTTAACTGCCGTAGCTTTCCCCCAAGGAATCCTGGGAACCTTTTGAGGGTGCTGAGAATTGTTAGGGGAGAACTATTCCCCTCACAGAGCTACAAATGTTTTAGCAATCAATCCCTCTTCCCATAGAACTCTGGGAAATGGAATTATTCTTTGAGGAGAACAGGGGGCTTCCAACAATTATCAACACTTATAACAAACTTCACTTCCCAGGATCCTTTGCGGGGGGAAGCCATGACTACTGAAGTGCTGAAGGTATAAGAGTGCTTCAAATGTCTCGTGCAGATGTGGCCTTGGGATGCCCTGAATACATATGAAACCCAATTTTAATTTGCTTTCATTCCAAATCATTGAGACTTATAGGTCCATTGGTTTCATTTGTTTATGATGTGCGGTCCTCCCTGGAACTGTGCACTTCTACTTCCCTTAAATTATGAGGTGGGGCATATTGAAGACAGAACCTGGAAACTACCACAGTAGGGCCTCAACTGTAGCAGCTTGCAGGGATTCTGGGAGCCATGGGAAAGCGCTGGATCGGGAAGTTTTTCATGTTTGATGTTTTATTATGTTTTTATATGTACTGGAAGCCACCTAGGGTGGCTGGGGAAACCCAGCCAGATGGGTGGGGTATAAGTAATAAAATTTTTATTATTATTATTATTATTATTATTATTATTATTATTATTATATTATTATTATTATTATTATTATTACTACTACTACTACTACACTGTCTCTTTCCAGTAAGGAAAAGAGTACATCCTTGTGTTCCACGCTCCAAATTTACTGGAAAAGGACCAATCAGAGGGCTGGAAGGGGCCACAATGGCCATCTTGCAATGCAGAAATCAGTTATCATGAGATTCAAGGTCTAAGATTTCCAATAGTGACTCTTTCTTCCCTGGGTAGTGGGGGTGGGGGTGGTGTAGAAGCTAGCCTACCATACGTACAAAAGTAAAATCTCAATTCTGAGAAAGCTGTTTCCCACACCGGGCCTATAGGAACTGGACCTTCAGCTGTCTAAAGTTACGAAACGGGACTCATAATAGAGGGCCTTTAATTGCAAGAAAAGAAACATGCTTCTCTCCTGCATCATTTTCATCGCCTTCTATATACAGATGCAGAGTCTGCATGTTCAATGCACTTCACGTTTTTTGTTGAGTGGCCACAATTGGGGCACATGGAGCCAGGGGCGCCGACTTATAAAAAATATTGGGGGGCCCGGGCCTGCCCGGGAAGTTGTCAGTCAGCCGGGGCTGAAAGGCAGACTTTCTCCCTCGGCTCGTCGTTTGCCCGTGCGGGATCCCACCGGGGAGGCGGAGTGCTGAATGCCGTTACAGTTTTATTTTGGGCGCCTCCAGTCTCCTCCTCCTGCTTTTCCCCATAAATGGTGACGGAGGCGACAGAAGGTAGCGGCGCACGTCACCTTCTATCCGAGGCACGTGGAAGCGGAATGAAGCGGCTGGCAGAGAATCGCCGGGGGGGGGGGCGTAATGAGGCTGAACTAATAATTTTCTTAAATTATTGGGGGGGGGCAGAGCCCCCCCAAACGAATTTTTGAGGGGGCTCGGGCCCCCTCAGGCCCCATGGAGTCGGCGCCTATGCATGGAGCAGATTTATGTATGTTGCATCAAAGGAAGTAAAAGTGGGTTAGCCAAATTCTCATTTGGCAAAGCTTAGCTCCTTGCCTTGACTAGCAAGCCTAGCTAAAGCACTTTTAAGAACCATTGCCATCCCATCCGGAGCCAAGCAATTGCAGTGTTCACAGTGAATTAGGGGCAACTCCAGATAATGGAAATTCTGTTACTTTTAATTCCACTGAAGCAAAACCAAAGAAAGAGACCCAAAAATGCTGATAAGAATTTTTTTTTTATGTTATTCCAATAAAAAATACATTCATACAGAAATATAACAATCTTGCAAAAAACAATTTCAAATAAAATCTTGTAAAACAATTTTTTTTACAAAAATCTTACAAAGAGATTCTTTAGATAACAGGGTGCTTCCAAAAAACAAACGAACAAAAAAAGGAAAAAAGAAAGAAATAAAGAAATTTTACGAATAGAAATTCTCTTCTGAAATTTCAAGCAATTTTTTTTCTCTCCGCTTTATTGAGGCTCAGTTATCACCTGAACAAAATGTACTTGTTTAAACTTACAAAACTGACAGGCATAATTTGACGTATGGCACACAGCCCCCCATTCCAAAAACGTTTTGATGCTTCGCAATCAAGAAAAGCTAATGCAAGGGGATTTATTAAATTTCCATGTTTTCCTACTTGAGCATTAATAGAGTTATTATGCTTCAGCAGAAAGCATTGCAAAATAGGTAAACAAAAAACCCACCCCTGAAATACCCCCAAACAAATAGAAAAACCCTTCTTAATCGCCTTGTTCCACTTGTGATGATCCTGATAAACATACATGTATAGACCTCCCATTTTTACTATGGAGAATGCTCCATGTATGAAATGTTTCTCTCACTATAGCTGCAAGGAAGTCCCTCAACGGGGAAAAAAGAGCAAGGCAGATCCTACATGCATGAAGCTCCACATGGAACATGAGAGCCCTACAGATTGTAGACAATATAAACCTTTTTCCTAGGGCATTTTTACTTTTTGTTTTTTTAAAAGTGCACACTCAAGTATATAAAAATTGAACACAATACAAAAGGGGCAGGCCTGTGTGTTCCTTAGAATTGGATAAATTAGTGTCTAATGTGTTCTAGAGAAGTATTTAACCTTCACCACCAGTTCCTGGAAAAGATGTCCGAAACAGCAAGAAATAGGCTATCACTGTGGTTTGTGGGTAAGTACAGCACTGCTGTGGAAGGCAGTTCTGAAACTCACTGACTTAACTTCTGGGGACGGCTGCATCTAAGCTCTCTCATGAAAACCATCTTGCGCCTTCAGCTGAAATGTAAATACCCAAAGTAACAAAGCAATCATCGAGGAGCTCATTCCTAGATCGTCTCAATAAGCTTCTAGACAGAAGCCAAAGCGGTGGATTTGGGTTGGAGGGTTTTTGTTGTTGTTGCGGTCATCTGCTAGAATGATCAACTGCTAAATGCGGCACAGGAGATGAAGACCCCGTTGCCCTCCAGATGCCATGCAACCACAACTCTCATCAGCCCCTGCCAGAATGGTCAACAGTCAGGGATTGTGAGAGTTGTGGTTCAACAACATCAGAGAGACCAAAGGTTCCCTACTTCTGACGTAGCGCTTCCAGATGATGTGGAATCATGTCACTAAGTGAGCTAGGCACTCAAGGTGATGTACCAAATCAGTGCCCTTTGGGACAGATGGAGAGCCAGCCAGACACCAGCAGAAAGTTGGTTGGAAGGTCCAGTTGGGACAAAAGGCGCAGTCTTGGGACTTTGCCAAGGTAAAAGAGAAATGGCAGGCTCATTGGTCTGGAGAGAGAGAACCTGATTCAGAAAGCTGCCAAGTTGCATTGAAAGATTCCCAATCCCGCAGTAGCCTCAGGAAAAGGTTCCGCTCTGCTCCATTCGTTTGACGGTCGGGGATTTTTGAGCTCGCAAGTGCGCCCCCTGACACAGAAGCGAATGCAGCCTAGCTTTCTCTTTGCAAGAATCACTTGCGCCCATCGGAGCCTCTCTTCCACCCCCAGGCTGCTGCCCAAATCCTTTTTAAAGTAGTCTGCAAGCCAATAATAATATTAAAAAAAATGTTTTTATGTGTTTAGTGACCACCACTTGTTTGCTTCCTTTACAAAACTTAAGGAAAAGCAGAGGACTTCTTATGGGCTGCCATATTTCACAGGAAAGAACTCAATTCTTTCCTTGAAAAATATATATTATTCATACACACACACACACAACACAAACACACAGTGCTTACAAATACTATACAAACAAATATATACACCCAAGAAACTTTCTGCCTGCTTGGTAACTTTTTTTTGTTTTGCTTTGCTTTTTCCATTTTAAAAAAGAGAGAGTTTTATTTTAGTATTAACCAAGAGAAAGCTTGATATAAAGACATGGAACTTGTGCCATTTTAAGCAAATGATTATTTTTGTAATGCTCCTACACTTTTAAAAAGGGAGGAATTGTAACATTTTGAGGTACATGGGAAAGGGAGGTTCAGGGTGCATGTTCTGTACACATATTATTGGTTGTGCAAGGATGTATAAAGAGGGATTTTCAATGTAGCAGAACCGGTCATATTATTCCATGGGATTTTTAAAAGGAAAAGTATAATATTGTATTGACATGTCCAAAGATGCTTTTCTACATGGAAAAAAACCCTGAAGATCCTGAAGATCAGCCTATGCTTTCCTCCACCTCTTCATAATTTACATTTGATACAGTACAAATGTCAGGTGACAAGAGAGCCTTAATGAAGCACAAATCACCCATACCCCTGTATAAGACCTCTTGCGAGAAGAGATCACTTTTGCATAAGGCACCATTATTAAGGTCAACAGTGCATTAACAGCTAGAAAACCAGAAATTAAGAGACCTCAAGGCATAAATAAAAGAGAAAAGGAACAAAAAAACAAAACCCCAACATAGCTGCATGAGAATTTTCTTTTCTTTTCTTAAAAAATATTACAGTTTCTAACCTACAGTGGTTTTATCCACCCAACAGGACAAAAAAAATAAAAAAATAAAAATCCAGGATCTGTATGTTATGTAACATTAAACCAATTGCATTGTAGCAGCTTTTTAACTGGAATTGAGAGAGGGGGAGAGAAAACAAAAGAAATACCTGCAAGTCCTGATTAAAGAATGGAAAAGCATATAGTTCCCCAGAACCATGCAATAATCTTTGTATTATAATGAAAAAGTTATAGGTTGTGTTATATTGTAAATACACAGCTTATACAATGGATTACAAATGAGCTCTGTAGCAAGTAAAACAAGCTACTTGACACATTGCACATTTAAGAGCTGGACCAGACACCAAAAGCTCCTCTCACACAGGATAGGGGCCCCTCCCTCCATTCTGGTGTCCTGACTTGCCACCCCCTCCCCTCCATCTTCCCCTCCCTCTTTCTTTTTCTTTCTTTTTTTTATTTTTAAAGGTGCAGACACCCCTTTCGCCCCGCCCCTTGGAAATGATTGATCGCTCCTTTCTTGCGGCATACTCCTCACATACGCAAATGATTCCCCTGCCCTCCCCCATTCAGCTGACCTTTCCTCTCTCTCTCTCGCTTACGGTTATAAAACAACCACGAGGAACGAAACGGAAGGAAAATGAAACAAACAAACAAAAAGTATTCATGTGCCTCAGCATACAGTCGCCCAGTACGATCCTCAATAACATACAGTCGTCCAATCATTAACATTCTCAGTGCACGTGCTCACGGCAGAAGGCGTAGAAGGTTGGGTGCCAGCGTACGAGACCCACAACCGTGCGGTCGCTATGCCGTTTCCTTACATGACTTGTTTAGCCCTCTGAAGACCTTCCAAGGAAGAGAGGCCCTGGAGGCAACTGGGTTAGGGTGCAAAATGGCATGCTTTGGCTGGAACACGCATCCCTTCTTTCAAGGCTGGTTGACCTCGAAGCCTCTTAGCCCACAGGATTCGACCTCTTCACCCACTCAGAGATGCCTCTTCATGTGCAGGGCCAGGTGGTCGGACCTGGAGAAACACCTGTCAACGGAGAAGAGGGGAGAATTTTGAGGACCATCTTCCTATAGGTGAGTGAATCGGGGTAGACCAGGAGGAGTTAGCATGGCTTCTTCCAGATGTTGCAAGACTATGACTCTGCTTGTCCCATTCCGCTGGCCATGCTGGACTGATCCGAGTTAATATTCCAATAACATCCAGACGGCACCACATTGTGGACTGCTGTTATGCGGCCCTATAGGTCCATCCAAGAGACACAAAATTTGATTTGGGAGACCCAAGTGCATAGCCCTTTGGAATCCTATTGTACCCCAGCCTTACTATCATCAGTTGCAATGGAGGCAAATACTACAGAGCACCTTTACGGAGCATACTTAAAACAAAAGCAACGTGCAGAATTAACTCCACTGCAATCTGTGTGACTTGGGACTGTTCATGCGACCTTGGGGCAGAGAGATAGGTTGTCAAGTAGGCGAACAGAGGAACAGAGTGGTCACTCCGCCACTTGGCCAGAATGCAAAATGCTGTGTCAAAGCAAAGTGTGCAGAGTGGCACCACAGTCACGTTCCCGGTGATTCACCAATCGGGCTGACATTCATATCCTGAAAGGAGCTGGGAATGGCATGCAAGGGTCACAGCAACCCCATGAGACAGACTAGGCTCATCTAAATCGATCCAAGGGAGCATCCTGCAAGAATCTTAGCCTAAGTTCACAGCACCTGCTACAATAACTCTTTACAGTCCTCTTCCAATCACTCATTGTGACAGAAGGCTGGTGCAAAAGAGACCCAAACAAAGATGGCTAAGCAGAAGAGCTATTTCTTAGAAGACATAAACTGTCTTGGAAGTTTTGGAGGAAAGGGAAGGTGACTCGCAGAATACTAGGGGTTGGGAGAGAGACCACCACGGGGACCAAGTCCACCTCTTTATAATGGGACCATAGCTACACCATAGCAACCGAACCCTTCCAAGACGTTCATTGAAAGAGACCCTACAGACTGCTCCTCCTCCTGTCAGCTTCTTCCCCTTTCCTCCTGATCTCAGCATCAGAAGTCACTCTATTATTTAACCTGTATCCATGCAGACACTATCTAAAAATGCATTAACTTCAATCCACTTAATTCTGGGAGTATTTCCACTGGAATTTCAAGTAGGCTGTTCTGAAATATGTAACTGGAAACGTTTTTCTTTTAAGTGGAGACAGAATTGATTCACCTGATCAGAGACTTATTTCTCTCTCTTTTTGCACTGTTAGAACTAAAAAAAGCTACACTGTTGCTGATCACTGAAGCTGGATGCTTCCTTTGAAAAGCTCCGGTGCAATGGGACAGAGCTGATACTTGATGGAACTGCCTGCGCCTTGGTGGCTTCATCAATGCGGAGGGCTTAAGTCATTGCTTCCCATGGAAGCACCGGGGAGGAGGGAGGTGCAGGGATTATTAAAAGAGAGTGCCCATTCACGTACCTGTCACAGTGACTACATTTAAAAGGCTTGGCACCCGTGTGCTTTCTGAAGTGTCTGGTTAACTCATCACTCCTCGCAAAACGCCACTCACACCCTTCCCATGAGCATCTGTAAGGCTTTTCTCCTGCAAATAAAACATACCAAAGATTATTAACCGTCCGTTTCTCTCTCCAAGCAAAGATGAATATTGATTCATTTGTTTTTAACATAGGAAATAAGGCCACTCAATTTAATTCACAACAGCACACTAAGTACTTCCGAGAACGCTGATGGAGAATTTAGATGTTTCTGAGCTGACAGCTTTGCTGCAACAGCAAAACATCAAGCCTTGACTGGAAAACATGCCAGTAATGTAAGCCTTGTGCAGCTGCATCCTAGGAATTCTCTGAGTGTTTAGAATACAGGCTTGTAAAATCACCACTAACCTGGTCACCTAGGGCGAATAAGAACTGCCTCCAAATGCCCAGATTGTTATAGAAGTTTAATAGAAGTTGGTTCTCTATATCTTTTAGGCTCAAAACAACTGATATAGACCATGCTTGGAGGTCTCCTGCGCTAGTAGCTTTTGTGGACTTCCTAGGTTAAACACAATAGCAGCAAATTATGGGTTGCACGCTCCAAATTATACTTATAGACTAAACCCACTGAAAACAATGGAGTCGAGTTAGTTAGGCCTAATTTGCATCCATGGATTTAATAGGTCTTCTCCAAGTATAACTTAAGCACATACAACCCAATATATATTGGGTTCACCTATTAGATACATAGGTTAGGCCGATCAATACTGGATGGTAGTGAGAAACCTAACCTACAAATTTGGGGCCATTCAAAGGGGAGAATTATTATTAACCATTATTAAGCCAGAATGTTTGGATGCCAGCCTCAATCCTGACAATATGGGAAAGCAAGTCTTAGACCAGGCATCCCCAAACTCGGCCCTCCAGATGTTTTGGGACTATCATTCCCATCATCACTGACCACTGGTCCTGTTAGCTAGGGATGATGGGAGTTGTAGTCCCAAAACATCTGGAGGGCCGAGTTTGGGGATGCCTGTCTTAGATTCTCCCAAGGTTCCATTCCATGTCTTTCTATCGCTCTAGAAATCTAGCGAGTGTGAAAATGTCTGTCCCCGAATTGTGAAGATCTAATTGCTTTGCCCACACAGCCAACCACCTTCCCCATGACTACATGGGTCAAAGTGGGCTAGGTTAGGGTGCGGGGAGCAGAGAAAAAACAACAACACAGAATTTCCCAATCCTTTGTCATTCAGGTGTTTTGGACTGCCAGGCCCCAGTGAGCATGGTCAACCATCAGGGATGATGAGACTTGTTGTCCAAAACACATGGAGCAGCAGGAGGTTGGGAAAGGCTAGAGTGGAGAGCAAAACCACCTTCATCAGCAGATCATAAAAATGCATTCTGGTCCAGAGATTCTGGTTATAAGATTCTATGGCTTAACACTATTTGTTTGATTTCTGCAGAATAACGGGCATATGAGAGGTAAGCTCTCCCTCGCTCACCAGGCTGCGGAAGCATAGAACAGAGCCATCTTTTTTTGTATTCCCCTCTTCAAACGGTGAAAAGAACATCTTTGAAGAGGAGACCTCTAAGCTGTTTGTCTCAAGGTGCAGAATCTCGCTCTGCACCTTGAGCTGGAGATTGGTATGCCAGCCAGCGGCTCTGCACATCTAACCACAGTCATCAAGCACTCTAGAATATTAATGTCAAAAAGCAACTACTTTCACTATAAAAAATTTATAGAAACCCTGGAGTGCCTGCCCGCTTCAAATCCTTTCAAGTTAAGCTAGGGAACTGGGTTTGTTTTGTTTAAATCTAGGTTTCATACTAGTAAAATCCTGTTTGCTTAGTGTTAGCAAAACCACATGATAATGAAACGCTCATAAAGTCTGCCATTGTCTTTATGATCATAAACATCTCTCTCAAAAGATCATTTTACTTCTGTCAATGCACACAGAGCTAGCTTGAGGCAAGTCCAGCAATTAAGGGAACTAGTTACTCTTCTGCTATTAAATGAATCAATGAGGAATCTGTCCTTCAGAATCAGGACAAAAATCTCCAATTTCTGAGAAATGTTTCCATTTCCTTTTGCTGTTGCTGAGTTTCAAAGCTAGTTCTCTGTTGTTGTTTTTTTGTTGTTGTCGTTTTTGAGGGATTCCCTCCACCTCCTTGAAAAAACAATTTAACAATTGTGCATCTTCTCAAGCACCAGCTAATTACAAAACAGGAACCAAACATGTGCAAGAGAGAGAAAAGTTAACTAGCCTCATCCAAGCTTTGCACATAGAAGTTTGCAACTGGCTAATGCAGAACAAAAATGAGGAAGTGATGCCTTGCATTTTGGAAACCTCAGCTGTTATTGCATCATCTCATGGCCCCAAGCTCTTGCTCCAGAAATTGCGTAACATTATGACACTATTAGCATCAAGGGTTTTCCTTACAGTTACCAGCAACCAAAGTCAGACATGAAGCTAAATCCAGATGGGTTGCCTAGAATAAGGGACAAAAACTTCTGAGATGGGGAACCTATGGCCTTCCAGATATTGATGAACTACAACTCCCATCATCTCTGGTCACGGGTCATGCTGGCTGGGGCTGATAGGACATGGGAGTCCAGCAAACATCTGGAGGAACCATATGCTCTCCATGTCTGCCAGCCCTAATAATGGCATCCTGGTGCATAGTTCTGCTGGCCATGGACAGCAAGGGAAGGGGAAGAGAAAAAGGATGATGCTGTCATTGAGAATCAGCCACCAGCTGAAGTATTAAGCAGAAGTCCTATAGAAATCATATGTGATGGTGAACACCATTAGCCTGCCACATCTTAGGGCCCAAGCCATGGAAGGTTTGACACACATCCTAGTAAGAGAAAGCTACCTGCCAGTGCTATAGGAACAGGAAGCAAATGGGGTCCCCCTTATTACATTTATATCCTGCCTTTCTTCCATGATGGAACTGTAAACAGTGTTCCCAGAAGGCCTCCTAGCTCACTGCTGACTGGTCACAGACCTTCTTAGCTGCACCAAGGACTCCATATCTTGTGGCTTCAGATCACAGCCAAGTGGGATGAGACAAGGTGTGCTTGAACCCACACATGAACAAACAGCTGAGGCCACCCTAGCATGCCCCAGTTTTGTTTTCTTCCATGGAAAACACAAAGTGACCACTATTTGGATCGCCCAAGACCAGATGTTTGGATCACCCAGTGGAGAAGATCTCACCTGTATGGGTACGTTGATGTGCTTTCAGATGTGAACTTTTGGTGTAAACCTTTCTGCACCCATTGAACTGACACCTGTGGATCCGCCGCCTCCCATCTGGAGAGGCATCGCCGTTCACTGGGGCACCCTTTTCTGCAGTCTTTCCACCACTACCAGTACGAATTTTGCCCGGCGAATGCAATTCACCAGGTGCAGAATTCCACGGTTGGGAAGAAGCTTCCTTCCCCAACTCAGGGGAGGAAGGAGGAGTCGACGTGACAGATGAACTCAAGTTTCCTGTACTGGTCAAGCCCAAGACATCACTAATGGGATCAGATGTAAATTTTGTTGTAGGCGAAAGTTCCTCAGAGCTGTCAGAAGATTCACTGCTGATGTCAGAATTCAAGCTGTTAGTCTCTAAACTCTGAGTCTTTATGCTTTCCTCCTTTGGAACACACGTGGCCTTCTGTTCAGATTCCTCCTTTTTCTCACGCGCCAAAATAATTTTGGTCCACAGATCCTCTTGACTGTCAAATTTTATCTCAGAGGCAGATACGTAGCAAGGCTCGCTCTGAAGGTATCGTTCCAGCTCTAAGCATGTCTACAAAAAAAATAGACACAATAAATTAAAATTAAATCTCTTTTTCTTAAAAAAAAAAAAAAGTGCAAAGCTATAGAAGCCATTCTCCAGAAACATCAACCAAAGCATGTGTGTGCAAAAGATGGGGTGTTTATTTCTGGTTGCTAGGCTCCCTTAAAGTAATAGGCCACTTAACCCTCATTTAATGACTGTTACAGTAAACAATGCAGTTCCCAAGAACTGGGCTGGAGTTCAAACACACATAGAAAGAGTTCAAACCCACCTACATTTTCCAGCCATTACTCATACTGTGTGAGCTGAAAAATCATCTCCTAGAAAGGAGATGTTCAATGGGTTGGCTTGGAAGTGACTTTGTTCTCACCCCAACCTCCCAGTTTTAATCAGGCCTTTCTACACTTTCCAGTATTTTATTAAGTAAGAGGGCTTCCAAGTGAATTGTGTGATCTCCGCAGAAAGTTGTCAAGCTAGACTTCCACCGAGCTGACAGCATCAGCGCTCTGAACTCAAACATGTGCGGTTGTGGCAAAGTCATGATCCATATTCAGGGGGAACCCACCAAGCCAGCCCATTTCCTGCAGATGAAAACTCAGCCTAAGGGAGACGTTCAAAGAATGCCAGTTCTTCCAAGCACACTGGCATGAGTTTTGCGTAACTTGGAACAATTCTGGTAGAAATGATAGCGGCCTAAGGAATTTCGGTGAACAAAACCTTTCAGAATGATAATGCGATGCTGAGAAGAAGAAGAAGAAGAAGAAGAAGAAGAAGAAGAAGAAGAAGAAGAAGAAGAAAGTTTGAGAAAATGGGATTGCAGGGAAAGCGGTCAAAGGAGAAATACAACTTTTCGAGGTCCTGCTGGGAGCCCCACATTGAAGAATTTTATCTACTGGCCAAGAGCACAACCGTATGAGTCATCTCCCTATTTCTTTCACTCAATGCCAAAAGAGACTTCCTTTTAAAATCCTGAACTTCTGCCAAGAAAGTGCACGGTTCAGATAGACATGCAACGGGCCATGTAAAATAAAATGAAATAAAGTAAGCTATCCTCCCTGCTGCAATAGGAGACAAGCAACCCTCCGAGTGACACAAATGTGTTTCCAAATTCCTAACAAACTAAAGAGAACTTTGGAAGAAATGCAAGCATTTATCTCTCTTTTTTTGGGGGGGTGTCTATCAGTGCACACTTCATTTCCCCTTCACTATCATCCCCATAATTAAAGATCAGCATGTTGATGGAACTAAATATATAAAGGGGTTGTGTGTGTGTGTGTGTGTGTGTGTGTGTTTATGGGCAAATATATCAGACTCCATAGTTACCTTATTTTAAGCAGGAACCCCCCCCATCCCCATAAACAAAGCTGACTCCAAAAGCAAATGTCACACATTTCACTCTCTTAAGTGTCAACTTAATGGGAGTTTCTGTCACAGTATGTTGCCGATTTTTACACTTCTCCCCCATCTGTTTAGGCTCTACTCCTAAGCACACTTACCTGGGAGTAAGGACCACTACTGACCTATGGGGCTTGTTTCAGAGTAAGCATGCCTAGGTTTTGACTGACCATTTCTCCCCTCTTGTTAACTGAAGGTCGGGCCAAAAAGTGGGAGAGACTGCAAGCTTAATCAATATTTATCGGTTTCCCTATAATTAGGGAACTGATTTGCAGTGCACTTCAAAAATAAAACAAGACACATCATTTCTATAAGGAAACAGGAAGGGAATTGACAGAAAGGGGCAGGTTCAAATTTCTTATTCAGGGTGGATTTAAAATTCCCCCATTATGCAAATCAGCCTGAAGGACTGGCCTGAAGCTCCGAAGGAGGTTTTGAAATTATTCAAAAGACTACAGTGGGATCCATATCTAGCTCTGGGTTAAAATTCCCCGAAATGCCTGAAGGAAAAACTATTTAGATCAATTTCAATTCCATACTGTTGGTGCTGCCTTGGAAAGAAAAAAGAAAGAAGGGGGATGGAGGGGGGAATTGGAAATGGGGAATTTCAAAACATGCACAAGGTTTCAACCTTCTTGATAGGTTCTCAGGCTTTACAAACAAAACCTCCAGACTGATTTGATCTGGGTACTCAGCTGGGCTTAAAGAGAGAGAGACAGAGAAGGAGCAAATATCACAGCTAGGGGAAGAGGCAAGTAAGTAAACACTCTCTCTTCACTTACACCCCCCCCTCCAAGGGGGGAAATCCAAGACAATGCAAAAACAATCTTGTTTCCAAGCAAACCAATTACTTGTACTAACAAACAAGCGCACCCCCCCCAAGAAAAAAAAAACCCATGTCCATTAAAGGCAACAAGCCTCCCTCTTTCCCTCCGCTAGGAAGACTCACAGCAATTAAAAAAAGGGGGGGGAGGAGAAACCAAACAGTATCATTGTCATATGACTGACAACTCAGGAGGGGGGGTGGCGGGTAAGACAGAGGGAAAATATTAATAATAATAATACTAATAATTAATGGTTAACATGCAGCAGGGAGTTAGAAGGTTGGCAATTCTGCTAAGGAAAATAATACGGGGGGGGAGAGATTATTTTTTAAAAATCCAATTTCCAACCATTGCTCTCCCCCCCCCCCAAAAAAAGTGGAGGTGTAAAAAAACACCAAAAAACCCGGTGGAAATGAAAGACAGTTTGGATGACAAGACCCAGTTGTAGTGTTTGGATCTGCTTCAAGGCGGGGGAGGGGGGAGAGAGAGGAGAAGACAACTTTGCCAGGAACTAGATCAAGCAAAATGCAAAACGCAGGACTTGCGGATTTATGCTATTTATTTTTTTGTGGCAACATTTCGCTTCAGCGGTTGTTGTTTTGATGGCACACACACACACACACACACACACACACACACACACACACACACACACACAGGACAGGCATTCAGAAATACACCAGCCACTGTCCAGAAGCTGTGACAGCGGCGCTGGGCATAAACAGCACTTCTCCCGGTCGCGAGCAAAAACAAGCATGCACGGCATAAAAAAAACCCAGAAAGCAGATATAACAAACAGTGTTGCACAGCAGCCCAAACAAACACACTTGCTTGAAACAATAACGTTACTATTTAAAAATTAAAAAAAAAAAAGATTCCTGCAGGAAGCCTTCCTAAAAGGCAAGCCTCTAACCTCGTTATCAGTGTTGCTCCGAATTAAAAGCAACGTTTGCCCAGCACAAGCAGATATCCTTCGGTTTACCTGTTGCCAATATTCCTCCAGAGATGGTAAAGCGGAGAAGTAACCAGTGTCGTGGACAATTTGGAGTTCCTGAAAGATGCTACACATTGGAAGCACATCCATGGTTTTTGTTTTTTTTTTTGTTTTCAAGGGGAAGGGGGGAAAAGAAGTTGCAACAAATAAACCCTCCACAGGGTCAACGTCCGATTGCAATGTGTCTCGTCGTAAGGAAGAAGAAGAAAAAGCACAAGTATCAACACCGCTACAGATGTTTCTCAGCTGCTACCGCTGCTGCTGTCGTCGGTAGTCGTGATGGCAGGTGATGGCGAGAGAAATACGACCAGCTATTTACAAAGTCCCACTTCCTCCTCCTCCTCCTCCTCCTCCAGACGGCCACAAAGAAGAAGACAGGTTTGTTTTTTTCCTCTTTCAAAAATAAAAATAATTATATATTAAATTCCTCTTCGGCAGTTCAGATGCAAAGGGTATTTTTTTAAATATAATAATGATAAAGCAAAAGTTTCATGCAAAGTTTAATTGCACAGCAATATCAAGGTATGGATATATATATATATACATAGATCTATTTATATATATATATATATCTTGCAGTCTCCAAAATGCAGCTGCTGCTGGTAAATCTTGCTTTCCACTCCTGGGGTTCTCTCCAGAAGATACTTGCTCAGGAGCCTACTCAATATTTGCAAACACTGAGATGACTGCGAATGTAACCCCCAGCAAAACTTCCCTATTCCTTGGCCACAACCTCCTCCTCTTTCTACTCCCCTCCTCCTTCTACTCCCTCCCTCTTTTCGGCTCCCCCCTCCCTCGCGCTCCCAGCTACTCTCGCCCCGCCCCCTTTACTCCTTCTCCTCCAGCCCCCCTCCCTCCGCCACCTCGTGATCCTATTACGCCGGCTCCGAGCACTGCCCAATCTCGAACAACAAAACTCGTTACACCGCGTTCCAATGATGTCAGAGCAGCCCAATGGGCGCCCGCGACGCATCCCGGCTCCTCCTGGCGTGACCGAACCTCTCCGTGACGCCGCGCCCGATTGGGCCGATTCGAAATTCGAGCCGCCCTCATTGGCCGGCCGCGCGGCAGGCTATTTTTAGAAGGGTATATAATGCCGGGGAGCCTGTTTTAGAGAAGCGACTCGGAGCGAGAAGGGGAACGTTTTGCTTGTTGTTTGCGGTTGCTAGAGAAAGAGAGGGGAGGAGGGGGAGGTTGCAATGCTGAGCGTGGCGTCCGGGGGCGCTGCTGAGTCGCGCAGGAATAGCAGAGGGAAGCTGAATCGCCTTAGACGTTGCAACAAGCTTTTTACCAGGGGAAACTGGGAGGGGGGGTTGTCATTACACGTGGGTAACGTTTTCTTACGTGCATTGTCTCCCGTGCATTCCCCACAACGCAACAGAATTCTGCTCCTGGCGTTCAGCGGTGCAGTTTGCAGGAGTAATCGATTCCCCTACCCCGGAAAAAAATAAATGGTTTCAACTTTAATGCGTGCTTACTCGGAGGGAAGTCGCACCGAATTCAAAAGGGTTTTTTTCGATTTGCCAGCAAGCGAAAGCTTGGAGAGTGTACGCCTCGCTGAATGCGTGGGGACTTGCGCTTAGTGGGGCTGCACTGTAAATGAATATTTGTTGCAGCGCTGCTTAACTAATGCTGGCTTCTGTCGGGAGATCATTTGCTACACAGCAGCCCCTTAACTGCTTTAGGAAAAAAGAGCTGTAATGGATGGTGGTGGTGGTTTCTTTAAAAAAGAAATCTAGTTTTTGCATTTGCCACCCCAGCTCTGCTTACTGTATCTGCCCTAAACCTTGTGAATTTCGTTTCTTCAGTTTCATGGTGGTTTCGTTTAGGAAGTGCTTCCCATGAAAGCCCCTAAAAGCGTAAAAATATACATAAAACCATTTTTATATATATATTAAAAATGATTACGCCCCATACCAAAAAAGAATTACATACATGAAAGCAACTTCAAATCCATTAAAGAGACTGACAGAAAAATCTCCACTGAGAAGAAAGCATTCCTCGCAAGGCTGTTGTGAAGAGAACCAGACATCCCATATTGAGCTTCATGGAGGATGGGTGGGGTAAAAATGTAATAATTAAGCCCAGGGATCCACTTATTTATTGCATTTCATAGAATTGTATAGTTGGAAGGGTCCCAGAGGTTTTCTAGTCCAGCTCCCTGCAATGCAGAATTCAGAGATAAATAATGGGATGGGATGATGGGAGTTGTAGTTCAGTAGCACCTGCCAAGCCAAAGGTTTGTACACCAGCTGTATCTCAGTCACCAAATGACTTTCCTCCTACAGTGCTCCCATTTGTTCAAATGAGGTTGCTGTGGACCTCATAGTGGTTAAATAGAGATTTCTAGCAAACCAACAATATGTTCTCATGTACCTGTCACCAGTTATGGGGTCAGCTGTCTTGCTTTTCATCTTCCCTGCCTCAACTTCTCAATTCTTCAAAAAAAATGTAGATATATTTAACCATGTCTACTCAGAAGAAAATCCTATTGAGCTCAGTGGCACTTACTCCCATGTAAGTAGGGTTGACATTGTAGGCTAAGACTGCAGTGCTGATCCCACTTACCTGGGAGTAAGCCCTGTTGAATCAAGCAGTCCTGAGTAGACATGACAGGGATTGCTCTAACTACCAGGGGTCTGATTTTCCCCTACTGAAGTGAACTGCCAAATGTCAGGTCTGGGTAAAAGACCTGGGTCAAAAGCAGATCCTCATGATTTTTTCACAAGATGTCACCATAATAATAATAATAATAAATCATAATAAGTACTATCTCTTTTGTGAATGGATTTTATACAAATAAATAGTGTGACCGCACTTGGAATACTGTGTACTGTTCTAGTTATAATACTTCAAAAAAGATAGTATAGAGCTGGAAATGATGCAGAAAAGGACCCTCAGTGTTTGGTTTAAAAATATTTTACACACCGCTGTCTCTGAAAAACTTAACTCATTTGCTGAGCGTTTCATGAGCCACAGCCAAATCAATGGGTTATGCAGCAACATGGTGGATGTTTATAATTTATATCAAGAGACAAACACATGACTGGCAAGTTCCCACAAAATTTCATTTTATTTGACTATGCACCAAGACTCAATGTCCTTTACCCCTTGGTACTTCTGTGGTGCTGATAATTTCATACCCATGACTACATTGCTATATTGCTAATTTCCCATGCTGTTTCCATATTTTGAGTCGTATTTTATTATTGTTATTATTTCAGAGCTTAAATAGCAAGCCATTGTCCTGGTATATTATACTAGAATTTATGTAAAAGTTAATCTGATTGATTAATGAAGGGGGGGGGGAATGTTGGAATCATTTCCCAATGAAGGAAGGTTATAGCAGCATTAACCAATCCAGATGTCCTTTTTTACTGAGCATTTATCAGGATTTGTCCCCATGATGTTATCAGTGCTAATATATAATTCTCCCTTCAATAATGTTTTTGCCTGTTTGTACTGTTTATCTTGATGCAAGAATTGAGTCTCAGAGCGTAAACTTCCAACAGTGATTTCTTATTTGCAATGTTTTGAAAAAGGAAAAACTATTTGGTTATTGGGCCACAGTGGATTGCTTCCATTATTGATGAGGCCATCACAGCTATTTCTATCCATGTTTGCCTCAGTTACCAGCTTGCTAAGGACACAACTGGAGTCCTGATCATTTATAAATGAGATGGGGTGGGATGCGCATGATCCTACATCTCATTGCTCTGGAAACTTGTAGATCTGCAGAACTAGCACTTTTACAAGTGCAACATAATGTGTGTTCTGCACTTCTGAGAAATCAGACTTTTAGTATGACAGCTCTTATCCTCTGCAACTCTCTGCCTTTTGATATTAAACAAGCGCCATGGTTGTAAGTGGTTGCATGTTAAAAACTTTTTTGTTTGGACTGGGCTCAGATTTTAAATTTTATTATGTCCATTTGTTTGATGTTTTGACTTTTATCTGTATTGTGATAATTTTATCACATTGTATTCAACAAAGACATTAGTGCAAGGACTTCTGCCTGTGCAACAGTACTTCGTCTCCCCACATCATCCCCAAAATCTGTTCTAGTTTTTCCCCTGACTCTCTGGAGCAGATTTGTGGGAGAGGGACATGCAGCCATAAGAAAGGCAGAGAAAGTCCTATTGAGCAGATGGAACGCATTTAGAGTCTAAACCTCTCAGGGAAATGCAAAGATTAAGCAGCATATAAATCTTGTAGAATAAAATAATACTGGAAAAGTAAGGCTCTGGATTGCACTGGGGAAACTATGTTGTATTCTGTGTTCTGTCTTGATGACCATAATGGCTCAGGTGGGGAAGAAACGGTCTCATGTTAAGGCATCCTTAAGAAAATACCAATAGCTTGGGGGCAGGGGAGAGATTTTTTTCAGTTTGCATTTAACAGCAAATTTACTGAATTCTCACTTTGTAAAACAGTGTGCAAACTGAAACACAGCCTTCCTTTGAAATTCACCCTTCTCCAAATTTTGCAGTTAAGTTATCCAGCCAAGTGATGTGTATAAAAATGCACAAAGTGTGCATATATTCATGAAAATGACACACAAAAATACTTTGTTAGGGGAAGTTGCTTTGCACAAAATTTGTGGATGTTAGGGTAAAATTGCAGTGAAATGCTGAGGAATTTTCATGAAGGCTTTTTTTTTTAGGTAACTGATGTGCTAAACGTGGAGAACCGACCTTAAGACAGTAAAAATGAGAAACCGAAATTGACTGTATTCTCTCATCCCTTGAAAGGCGCATTGCTACTAGTATTGCTGTCCTAGGTCCCCCTTTCTAGTATGTGACAGCTTCCCCCAGTGTCCTTGAGCAATGTTGAGTCCTGGCCAAAATAAATTGGAGAAGAGGGGTCTGCTGATATACCCCCAGCTTCAAACCTCTGTGCTCTGAAGATTTGGAGGTCTACCTCCCTCGAGAGCTAAGCTGCTTGCATTCTGCAGCGGTGCCAGTCTCCCAGTAATCCCCAAAGGCAAACGACTGGTTGTTATGTGAGTGTATTTGGTTATGGAAATGTCTCCCTCTGTCCCACAGCAGCTTGTAACAAAGGTGTTTGCATATCGTCGGTATCATAGTAATTATTACTACTTTGGCTCTTGGTCCTGTAAGTAGTCCCAACAGAGAGTTATCACCAGCGGGGAGACAACATGATTTATTGCCGCCTTCCACAACAACAACAAACTGCATGGATGTGTATAAGAAAGCTTTGAAAAGCTGGGGCAGGGTTAAAACGTTTGGAGGTAAATGCCACAGCAGACATGGAGTCTATGAAACCCAGTGGGATAGTTAGGCTCAGAACTGAGAAATAGAGAGGTGGGTGTTCTGTCTTGCAGGGCTGTGATGTTTTCTCAGTCCCCTGTGATTTGTGGAGCATCATCTGATCCTAAAAAATAAATTGCACCTGGTTGCGATCACATAGATGTTCAGACGGCACCAGGAGTTACCCGAATACCTGTTTAGCAGAGCTGATTATTCTCCGCTAGAGCCTTTATTTGTGATGATAGATTTGCTCCCATTATTCAGGCCCCACCATGCTTGAGAGGCTGCTCAGCTAGCATTGTTGTGACATAACTATTGACAGAATTTTTATTGGATTTATTCTCGTGCATACTTCCTGGATTCAGCACTGTCTGTGGAATCATACGCAACATCTGTGCTTAGGTAAAGGGACCCCTGACCGTTAAGTCCAGTCGCAGACGACTCTGGGGTTGCGGTGCTCATCT